TGTTCATCTTGATCAGTCCTGCCTAAGACGGCCACCTGTCTTATAAATACGGCCACTTTTCTCCTTGACAATGAGGGAGGGGGGCATCTTACACAGGTTTGACTGTAGATCTAGAACTAGTCCAATGAGCTTAAAACACTGTAACTCTTTGATCTAGTCAAAGTCAGGGCTGTCAAATTGGAGCCAAATCCCAGAAATTTGGCTCTTTTGGATCGCGTCTGGCCCGGAGAAATTCATTTGGCTCTCTGGCTCTTTTTTTGGCTCCAAACTCCAAATGTTCAAGAAGAAGGGGACAGAAGAGGCAAGAAAAAAGATAAAGAAAGAATAGAAGAAAAAAATGAAAGTGAAGAAAAGAGCTTGGATTGTCTGATAAAATTATTAAACTAGTTAACATGATTTAACGCCCTCGCCCATTTGGTGTGATCATAATTTACAACCCTTCAACGGTCATGCAAGAGCATAATTTTAATAGTCTCATGCTTATGTGTCGTCAGAACACACTCTCTGTTCCTTGAACCATAATGTATTGTATGCAGGCAGAGAGGCCTGCTTTCGCAAGTGTGTAAACAACAAATGGTCCAGCTGGCGGCCGGTCCCACATCCCGCTCAGTAGCGTCGGCAGTGACCAATTTTTATTTTTTACTGAAGAGGCGAAAAAATTTTTACATTATTATTATTCGTTCCCAATCACATGCGGTAAGCCACCAAGGTCCTATAGGTGATTTTATCGGCCTGCGAGAGGTCAGGGGGGAGTCCTCGCCTCATGCCCCCACCGGGGTGGGAGCTATTTATAATTTACACCAATATGGGGGGGGTGGGGGGTGAGAATAGGGAGACATGGGTTATTCTCACCCGGGGTGAGTATAAAGGTGGCCTAAATGGATATAGATTAGGCCTATAATAACATATATATTAGTATTTCAAAGGGTTAAATTGAGCAGGGGCCCTTGATCTACTCTGACTTTCTTCTTTTATAGGCTACTAGTGCGCACCGTAAATCAAATTCAGAGTGATTTTGACTCAATTGCTAACTTTGTTGTTTATCTCCCTTTATATAATATTGCCAGAGTACACATGATGTGATATTATAATTAGTGTGTTGTTGCTAGGAGTAAAGGATGAGATGCGTCTGAATAGCCGAGACTATTCGGACTCAAACTCCAGCGCGCGTGCACAATCAACAGGTGCACCAGATTCAAAGCAGACACGCCAATTCGACCTTGGCCTTCCTCGGTCTATCCTCGGTTTCCACCATCTTGCCAATATTTTAGACACTAGTTAAGGAAAGTATTAGTGACGTCAAAAGTTGGCATACTGAACAACAAAGGATTATAAAGCCTATTAATAGGTAGTCTAAACCCGCTTTATTTGGTGAAAAAGACAAAATCATTGATCAGTTGGAAGTCCAGTTAGAAATTAAGAAAAGAAAAGTTAAAACCCTTCAAAAGGCTAAAGGGAACAAAAGTCAGTCATTCTAAGTAACAGTGGTCTAAAGGGAAAGCTTTTCCAACAGCATACTTTGCATGATGTTAAAATAAAATCAGGACCAAACAATAGCATTCTGATAACTGTGTTATACGGGGTGCTCATTTGGGGATCGCGATGGTTTACTAGTCAAATTGAGGGCAGGAAGCAGCTATCATAGCACAAGCCGATCGGGCCCGACTCATCATCATCATCCAGTGCCAGATCTGCGACAGACATCGGCGATCATGGTTTTCCATTCATTCCTTTGCTCGGATGCTCTAAAAAAAGCTACGTATCCCTGAACTTTCCCTGTAACCCATTTGTTTAGGTTCCCTAAGTATGTTGTTCTGGGCCTACCGCTGCCTCGCTTGCCCTCAATTTTGCCAGTGAGAGCTAGATGTTCAAGACCCTTATGTCTATTCAGGTGTCCCAAAAACTGCATTTGTCGTTTCCTGATTGTTTTTAACATAGAGCAACCCACGTGGGCTTCATCAAGCACTACCTCATTTGATTTCTTTTCCTTCCACGATACTCTTAGCAGACCTGCCTCGCTTGCCCTCAATTTTGCCAGTCAGAGCTAGATGTTCAAGACCGGTATGTCTATTCAGGTGTCCCAAAAACTGCATTTGTCGTTTCCTGATTGTTTTTAACATAGAGCAACCCATGTGGGCTTCATCAAGCACTACCTCATTTGATTTCTTTTCCTTCCACGATACTCTTAGCAGACCTGCCTCGCTTGCCCTCAATTTTGCCAGTCAGAGCTAGATGTTCAAGACCGGTATGTCTATTCAGGTGTCCCAAAAACTGCATTTGTCGTTTCCTGATTGTTTTTAACATAGAGCGTCCCACGTGGGCTTCGTCAAGCACTACCTCATTTGATTTCTTTTCCTTCCACGATACTCTTGGTACAGGCCTAAAAACGATCCCCAAATGCGCACCCCATATTAGACAAGCGTATTGGAGTTTGAGTCCGAATTGCCACCGGAGGCTATTTAGACTCGAGTCTGATAGCCACTTCTGCGTGTGAATACATGTGTTTGTTTAAAAAACACTTGGCAAGTGTGTGTTTGCACAAAGCAAAAGTTTTCAGTGGACATGTCTTGAATAGATTCACATGAAGGTTTGTGATGCTATTAATGTATGTGTGTGTTGTGTAGATAATGTGTGTGGGGGGGGGGGGAGTGATAAGTGTTTTACAGCGCTCACAACTGAATGAGGTCATATGAGCGCACGGCACGGGACTCATTAAACATTTTTAGTTTGTAGGACATTTTGAATTTTGCCCGAGTGGCAGCCGAATCCTACTCTAATCGATTTTGGACCCCCAAGGGATCTTAAGCATGCGAGACCTCCGAGATTTTTCACCCTTATCCGAGAAGGCTAGGTGTTGGATCTTACCTACCATAAGATCAGGGGTGTGACTGAAAGAAGGAAAAAAGGAGTAGCAGTAGAAAGGCTGCAGAAAGAGTCTGGGGTTGAGGGAGGGGGCAAAGAAGGTGAGGGGGTTAGGGCAGAAGCTGGAGACGAAAGCAGGTGACAGAACATTATTTGAGAGCAGGAAAGGAGGTGAAAGGAGAAAATTTTTGGAAAAAAAATATTCCATCGCTGTCTGGATTGGAACCCGAGACCTATTGACTGAGAGGCGAACAACATAACACCTCGACCACGAGAGCCCCATTGGGGGGGGGGGTTGGTTTATTTGCTATTGTGTATAGTCAAAGTGTATCATCTATGATGAGAGAATATGCTTCTGTTTCTGTTTGCAATTTTTGGAGAGAAGTGTCCCAGACTCTATTTGCAGGGTTGAATTATATAAAGATGTCTATGCTCCCTCTGAAAATACAACCTTTCTATTAGATTTTAAGTTGCTTTTTTATTGGCACTTTTGATTGCTCTCTACTTTCTACTTTCTTTTAATGACAATGCAGTTTCTCACATAATATGGCAGGTTTCCTGTTATGTTCTTTTATTGCCATTACTAGTTAAACATGCTTTACCTGTCTACTTTTATTAATAAATAAAACAAACTTTGTGCATCTAGGAATCTATGCAACCTCTATGAGAAGGACTTTCAAGGACAGGGTATACATCTACCATTGGCATTGCCAATGATCAAACTATGTATGTATGAATTATGAAATGGACCTTTGTGCATTGACAAGGTGGATTTAGCTCTCTTATCTCTTTTCTTCCTCCCTCCCCTGTACCCCTCATGCTCTCTATCCCTAATGTATCAATTTTTACTTTTCAACTGAGCACCATTCCATTTTCCTCTCACTGTTCGATTTTCCTTTACACATTTTAATTATCCTCTTATTTCAGGTTTTCTTGGTGGATGTCTGGCTGTCCGGGCACCATCAAGTAATTGAAAAGAGATACTCTGAGTTTGAAGAACTGCACAAACAGGTGAAAAAAGAAGTTATGTCACCACTTGGCTCATTACTTACTGAAATGTACACCTTATTCTTCAAAATTGTATACCATTGTGATTTTCTGAAAGTTAAAATATTCAGTGCAACAAAATGTGATGTACCGGTACTTCCATGTTCCCTATGTTATGATTGCTTTTAATTTTGTTTTAAGCTTAAAGCGATGTTTGGATTTAATTCGCTATTCTTAAATTGTACTCTCATGTCAGTTTTTTTTCATTTAAGACCTCCAGAGACATAAAAAGCTGATTCTGAAGGCAAGTCATGACAGCGTTAGTAAAATAAGTACAGAAAAGGAAGAGACCAGTTTTATTCCAACACAGACTGGAACTTCAATTTTCTGTGGGTCAGATTCTTTATTGGTCAATATCATAAGCAGTCAAACTGCATAAACTTCTAAAGTTCTCTGAGTTTGTAAATATATACATTGTACTGTGTACATCATGGTATATATGATTCTCAGCAATTTTACTGAAAATGTTTTATTGTTTTATCATATTTTATTTTACTGCTTGTGTTGTATGAATAGATTGGAATAAAAACATTGCTTGTTTTATTTTTGTTATGTTTACCTTCCTTCCATAGCTGAAGAAAATAATGAAAACTCCTGAGTTTCCTCCAAAAAAAGTTTTGAAATGGAACACGAAAGTATTGGAGCAAAGACGGGTTGGATTAGATGCTTTTTTTCAGGTATGTAAAATGTACTTGCTTTTGGTCTTCGTTTCTTTTAACCGTATTATTTAGCTTTTCTTTGACTGTTTCTATAGAATCTATAAAGTATCATCTGAGGTACATGTATCAGCAAATATATGGAAATCAAAGCAATGAAATATAATATAACTAATGACTTACTGTCTCTCTTTTAGTCTTCTGCAGTATGGAGTAAAATGTTAATGACATTATTGCCTGGCTTTTGGACACCTACCACAATGGATCCACATATTTATACTTAAATTCACATGAAATATAAGGAAGGTCGATGGAATAAGGATAAAAGTAAGCTCTTTCCGTTTTGTTTGTGCTGTCCTCAATATACTGTCATCATGTACTTCTTTTTTGTACCCTATTTAATAGTAGGTTGCAATAATCTATTATTAGGGTTTGGTGCGTTTGTATTTGTATGACAAGATAAAATACATGAATATTCTAGAACACTAATGAAAACCACTATTTATAATGTTTGCAGGGTGTATTAGAACATGAGCCAACACCCAGCATCGTGCACACCTTTTTGGAGACAGATGCTTTAGATGCCTCCATGGAGTAAGTACAGCGGATTGAGAAGTTACTACATCTCTTCAATCTCAACAAGACCCTCTCACTCTCACTTGGTCTCCAAAAATACCTTTCCAAGCTTCCTGCTGCCCTCGTTATTACATGGCCCTTTATCTTTGTTGGACTTCATTCTTTTAAAAGTGTTCTTTATTGTTATACAGTCGAAATTGTTTAAGACAGCGCCCTTTGTCCAGTAGAAAGGTGGTCGTCTTAGGCAGATGGTCAGTCTAACACAGTGTAATCATAGTAAAAGATACCCAAGGGGACAAAATGAAAAGTGGCCATTTGTACAGGTGGCCGTTAGAGCAGGTTCAACTGCATTTTTGTACATGATTTTGTACTGTCTGCTGGTGGAGGGGGGGGGGGGGGTTCTAGTTGTCCACAAATATACAGGGCTTTTTACTACTTAACTCTACCCAGTGGTTGTATTATGGAGTGAAATATGCCTCTAAGCTATGAGTTAAGAGGTTTGCACATGATGTTTATATCTCATGGGTTGATGTTATCAATGTTAACAGTTTTTCTTTCTTCACCACTTACAATTTCCCAATTTCTAATTCTTAAATATAGAAAAACAAGCTCAACTGATAGAACTTACACTTTTTAATAGGTAGAATAAATTAAGACTTAGTGAAAGACCATAAGCTCATCGGCCACTGGATGGATAACAAGCGCTACTACACATTACAGGGACACTTTTGTCAGTTTTTTTAAACTTTTCAAGTGGCATTCCAAAAAATTTCCACCCACTTCAAATTCTTTTTAAAGACTGACTGCTTCATTGAAATGGTTGAAATATTTATTCCATTATAGCTGCTGTAGCTTTTGGTTTGTCGCTTTGCTCCAAATTTGCCTTTATACTTTATGTCATGTGCTATTTTCTTCTCTTATGGAACAGCTTTGAGAATGAGGAAGAACAGAAGACGACCCATCAGCCTGTGGTGACTCTAGATGCAGATGTGTTCCTGAGAAACCTCAAAACAAGTGAGTTCAGCTATAGGGGCTCTATAGGTTAAGACAACACGCACAAACTAGGGAGTAAAATATCCAAATTTGGCTACAAATGCTGGGAGTCACCACTGTTGTATTATACTCACGATGCTGATTATATATGTCGTGACGCTGTGGAATCAGGCGTTCTTAAGTTTCTGAGCATATGGCGTTATTGATATGATCGTAAAGCTTGGTTATTTGCTTTGCTTTTGACGAAAAAATACCCATCTAATTAACGAGAAAATGACTGCCGAAGTTTGATGACTTCCAAAGCTGTAGTGTCCATTGAAACTGCAATTTTATATTTTTTGTCATCATCATCAGTGCCTTTCACCCCTGGCAGGGTATAGGCCACATACAAGCTCCTTCCATTTAACTCTGTCCTGGGCCATCCTTCCTAGCTCGTATTTTTTGTGCCGTTCATCAATGTTTTTCAGTAAATCTGTACTGGAAAGTTTTTCTATGAAACATAAAAGGTGTTGAGCTCAAAAACATAAAAATGTTTATAAATTGCCAAACGGGCGGAAAAATGTTGATTTCTTCTATTTCATAATTTTGATGAGTGCTTGATTTCACCGCAATGCGTCTACTTCTGTATGAATGGGAAGCAGTAAGGAAAGCGGCTATTTTCTTGTCGGAGCCTATAGACATTGATTAATTTCTTCTCACACTGCAAGTCTGGGAATCTTTAGAACCTAAATAGTGCTGTGAGTATGGTAGCGTGTGGTGGTAGGGGGGAGTTGTGGAGCATATTGTAGAATTTTTACTCTAAAAGAAAATCTCTGTGTGTCTGAAGGCTTTACACTTGTTGAAATCACATTGGTCCCAGACTGTCATCTCTGAGAATGCTAAGATTATACCATGTCAGTGGGTATTTTTTTGTTTATATTTTGTTGTTATATTTTTATGCTGTTAAGTCCACCAGGTCTATATTACAAATATAATAAATATAATCATAGTCTTAGCATCTGTGGTGTGAGCTTAGCTTGAAGTATATGAAATAGAATTCTTTCTGTGCCTACTTGCTTTAGGGGGCCTTCTGCTCTTCACTGGAAAGTACAATGAAGATCAAAAAGTAAATAATTCAAATCCTCATAATGATGATGTAAAAGACAAGTGCAAGTTTGGTAGACTTGACTTTGACTATATATATCTCAAAGCAGGGGAAATGAGAAGCTGATCTCCTGTGAGAAACTACACAGAGATCACTTTGAGGATTCTTTTTAGTTTTTTCTTGCAGTAAATGTAAAGATGTTCTGAAAAAACACTGTGCTGCATTCCTGTTAGTGTTAGTGCTGAGTTGCAACATACTTCTTGTTTGGGTGTGAACTCCTGAAAAGGAAACGGTAAGGCTTGTGGTTTCATCTGCAGTTAGGAAGGCCAAGTAAAATATTCCCCAGATATTGTCTGCATCAGGTTAAGGTGCTGATTTGTCTACATTTCCAGGTGTGTTGCTTTTAAAAGGTGTCTGTATTTATGTTTTAAGTTAAAGATGAACTCTTGTAATAAAGCAATTAAAATTGTGTACGTCTTATTTTGTTAACTTTCTGATGTTTGGTCATTAATTGAGCCTTTATCTGATTTGAACTAGTCACATTTTTTTTTCAGACTGCCTGCCAAACATCATTGAAGAAGGAGTGAAAATGGGATTATATTCAACTCCATCCCCCAACTTTAATACTTGAGATTTTGTAAAACTAGTCATTTTATATTTTATTCTCTTTGTACATTTTATATCAATCTTGTTCTTGGTACAAGTAAGTCATATTGAAAGAGACATTAATATTTATATATATATATATATTATATCTATACACATGAACTTGTTTTTAAGGAAATGAATTGAATTGCCCCTTCTTTAACATAGTCTTCATTTTGGTGCAATTTTCCACTTGTTGCATAGGAAAACAGGAATCTTGTTGTCCAGTTTGGATATATATATAGCATTTGATGAGGATATCATAATACAGAATGTCTCAATGTTATTTCGCATAGGCTGCAATAAATCCTTACTATCTTGTTTTGGGTGTTCAAAACAGTACCCATTGAGTTGAGGTACCGTTTTATTAGTTTGAGGACCACAAATGGCAGTTTTTTAACTGGTTTGTCAAGGTTGTACCAGTTGAAAGAGACTATCGGTCTTTTGTTGCCCAGCACAATCATGTATGTTGTAGCCACCCTCTAATGGTGATGAGTTTGAATCTTTAGTTTTAGTTTGAGTTTGAGTTTTACAGCGCTTGCAACCCAAAGAGGTTGTATAACATTAGAGCCAAATATTTGAGGTTTTACTATAAGGACGATGGATATTTAATTTTTTTTTGACGTGCGAGGCGCAGACCACACCAGAGTACCCGCCAACCACCCATGAAGTTTTCTATCTTCAGTCTCATCAATGAAATCCCTACCAATCCAATGCCAAAATGTTCCTCCCGATAGACAATGACAATACTGAGTGTGTGTGGCTGACAGGCGCTCTGGTGCACTTTGCTCCTTCGTCCATCGAACTTCCATCTTCCTTACAACTCCTCCTTCTTTTATTTGTATGTTACTCTCTAGTAACACTTGAAACCTCTAATTTTTTGCACTTATATGACCTATTTGTATAGCAAGTGCTGTAAAATTCTGAATAACGGTACTTCTACTTCTAGACTAGAGCTATGTTGTTACAGCTTCAGATTTTCCCGATCTCCAATGGCAATTTATGACTATTTTGTAGATGTATCCTCTTTTTATTTTTCAACACAACTTAGATAAATTGATAAATACTCTGATGTTATATTATATTCTTATTCTCCTACATTTTAATGTTTCTATTGTTTTTATGAATTCTTACTCTGTGGTCATTGTCATCAGTGCAACTAGAGTAGAGGCACTCTGCCTCCACTTGTCAAATATTTTTGTCTGTAAAAAACATTAATTATCATAGCTGAATTCTTTTTGGTTCCTGGTATACTCTGGCTATTATTATTAAGTCATTTGATGAAAACCAGTTTTTGATTGAGAAGCTGAGAGAGAATAATGGAGAAAGGTAAAGTGAGGGAACAGAAAGAGAGAGAGAGAAAGAAATGTAAAGGATGATTCTATCAGCACTATAAGGTTATTGCAGAGACACGACTTCCGAATTTAACATCCATCTCTGATAATTGGTTCAGCCTTGAATATGCCACAAAACAATAATAATTCAAGAAAGCCCAGCCTAGGATTTGAACCATGGCCATTCGCTTCATAGCCCCCTGCAGAGAGAGAGAGAGGGGGAGAGGGAGAGAGAGAGAGAGAGAGAGAGAGAAATGTATGTATGTGTAACTGTTGAACAATTATTATGCCACCAGGATTGACTGCTGTTTATAAGTTATGTGAAAATAATAATATATACCTGATGTATATATATATATATATATATATATATATATATATATATATATATATATATATATATATATATGTTAGTTGATACAGCTAACTACAGGCAATTCTCAACAGAGAAGTTAATTCCATACATTCTCAGCTCAGTCACTTTGCAGAAAGACTGATCTCCACATTGATTGATGAAAGGGAAAGAGGTTATGTGATGTAAACCAAATTGCCATTGAAACTAGTGGAATTAATCATGTGCAATATAACTAAAGGGCAAGTGTACATATTTATGAGAAGTACCTCTGAAAGTGTTTTAATATTTTCAATACATAAAATAAGGGAATATGAGGGTGTTTTTATTGAAATTGCATCTGAAAGTGAAAGCATACAGGAACAGAATACAGTGAAGGCCGTTTAAACTGAAATTTATGGACCTGCTGGATTTTCTTCTGCATCACTTGAACTCGAATAGAGGAGGAAAAAAAGCCAGAGACTCTATTTTCTTTGTTTACAGCTGTTTTCAGATTAACCATGTTTAGTTTAAGAGGTCTCGACTGGAGTATTTGTCCATTAAAATAGCGAAAAAGATAAAAAAAAATACAATTAAAATGTGTACCGTGTAAAATGAAATAAACTTTTCTTTCTGACCACTGCTACTACAACTTGATTTTATTAACCTGCTGTGTGCCTCAATAAAACTATCACTAGCTTGAAAAGAACCATAAGTGTATCGTATGTGGTGCACTAGACACTTTGCTTTTATTTTCTGCCGTCAACTTCGCTTGAGTTGATCCTCAGGTTGATCTTTTTCTTGGGTCCCAGCACCTCTTCTTCTTTATAGGTCCCAACGGTTAAGTGGAAGTTCGGATGAATTGATATTTTTTTCACTCCCGCAACGACATCAACTCATCTGTAGTCGACTAGTTTCACTATGTATGTTTTAAGACTATCTTCTCATGCACTTGCACAGCTTGCTTAAATTTGAAGGAGCATGCAGGTTAGGTTTATGTTCTAATCTCCACAGGTCAGAATTTTTCACAAATTATGTTGGGAGACATGATATTCCGCCTTTGAAATCAGTTTTTGTCTCAAGTAACATAAAGCTACCACAAGCAATTCGGGGTGGGGGGGGGTGTTCACTTTGGAAAGAGATGCATGCGTTACCTATTCACAGGTTCATTGACGGGAGTTTATTTTTGTTTTGTGTTGGAGAGAAGCATACCTGCTTGATAGCTGAGCTTTCTTGTTTTGTTCCTTCTTTATGTGTTTTGTTTTTTAGAAGGGGGGTTGGGGTCACAAGGGTTTTGTTTTGATTTAATACCCTACGAGACATAAATAGGTTACCTAATTATGAATGTAGAAGTAGAAGCTCTTTTTCTTTCTTTGTGAGAAAAATAAGAAAAAATAACACCAGTATCGGAAAGGGGGGATGGGGCAAGACGAAGAGTGCATATTATTTAAAATTTTTGACCTGAAGTTAATCTATCCACTTTTGGTCATTCAGAGCTGGGAAACAACCTCGTACTCGTACTTCTAGACTAGAATTAGAAGCAAACCAAGCCCATGCTCACTAAGCTAAGTTTCATCCTTTGTGTATTATTATGCACTATTTTTGCAAAGGTATATAATACGTTGCATTGTGTGCTTTGAATACTTTTATACACACGACACATATTTTTTTATGACAATTAAATCCGAGATAAGAGCACTGATCTGTTTCCTAATAACTAATAATAGTAATAAAGGCCACTTTCATGATTCCCAGGGTTCAAACTAGTTCGAGTTTTCTGTTATCCCTTACCCTTTCCCATTTCAAAATAAAAAATGGGATTATTATACAAACCCCATTATACCACCTACCTTGGGACCAGCATGAAGTTGGCAGTACAGCGAGGCTCGCAGTAGTATAATATTAATAATGGGATAGCACCGATTGCCATCTTGACTAGTTGTTGACTGGATTGAAAATAAAGACAAACTGTGACCAGTCTTGATTCATCTTTCTGTCCTGTGCAATAACCATGCGCAGGGGAAACATGAGTAGCAACCATGAGCTGGGAAAATTATTTTCAAGCAAATCAGCCTTTCTGCTGGGAAGTTGTATCCCTCTCAGCCCAGGCTGACCCTGACAGGCAGGATCGAAGCCCACCTCCTAAATGATCTAAATCGTGTCTGTGGAGACGTCAGCAGACACCTAGATATATAAACCATAAAGTATACACATTTTATAGGAAGAGATAACCTCAGCAGGTCAAAGCCAAGATATCTTATTCTTAATCAATGCCCGACTACATCTCTTAAATCATTACTTGGGTGAAGAGAAATACCGAAATACTCGATACTCTTTTCATAGGAAGCATAAAATCAAGAGGGATAAATAAAGACTTAAAACTCTCAAAATGGACGTTCAGAGACTGGAATGAAGCTATGTTTCCTGACAAGTCTAGGTTCTACGTAAGTCAAAATGATGGAAGGAGAAATGTACACCAGCCATCTGGTCATCCATGTGAAGCAACTTCGAAATGCACCAACCGATCACAGAATGGAATAGCATTGGCCTACCATTGAGAACCATTACAAGTCTTACTCTACTCTATCTCATTTCTTATGCAGTGTCGAACACTTTCAACCATTGCAACCTAAGGCAGCCGTACTCGTTGCTGTACTTTTTATGGATGGGAGTATGTTGAACACTGCCCGACACAAACACACAAAATCCGATTAGAAATCCTCCTTTGTTCAATCAAAGATATATATCTATTGGTAATTTGTCCTCTCACTCTTATCTTCATGTAAACGTGTGTATTAATCCATACCATAGTTTCATTCCAAGCACATGATCTCTTATTTCTCTACTTTAAGTGGGGCGTTTTTAATTATTAAAAACGCCTCACTTAAAGTAGAGAAATAAGAGATAATTAAAAACGCCTCACTTAAAGTAGCAGACCTGCCACTCATCCCGATTTAATCGGGATATACCGATTTTTTCCCCAAAATCTCGAGCATCCCGATTTTCCCGATTTCGATCGCCAGTATCCTGATTTTTTGTGGTTGCGTCTGTTGCGTCCGATTCTTAGAAAAAAATATTAAAAGTTCTCTAATCTCTTTTGCTTGGAAACACCGATTGGACTTTTTATCTGCAAGAACTTGGAACGCTATTTTCTAAAGCATCTATGCCGAATCTAGATCTAGAATCTAGTAGATGACTAACGCACGTTATTTACACTAAAATCGACCTAGTTTCAAACGCTCATTCGCATCACATGACATGACCTCGTACATGTGGTGAGTAGCGCGTGTGTCGGAGACCGTCGGTTGTCGGGGTCAACAAAGTTCATTCACACCGGTCGCGTTGGTCGAGGTGTTTTTCGGGACTTAACCAGTGTGGACGGCCGGGGGGGGGGGGTATTGTTTTGACACTTGGGCTTAAAGTGCGTGCCGTGATACAGGTACTAATTAAGGGGAAAGGAATAAGAAGGGGAAAAAAGAACAACCTTGGCGCGATCTTTTTTTCGATGTGATGGAAGTCAAACGTTGTTAAAACGCGGGCGTTTTGCGTGGATGATTAGAGTTACGTGTCAGCTATTTTCAAGACTACGAGTGTTTCAGCATCACTACGACCTTCGCTCCCCCAGTCTATCCAACTTCGACTCGAGTACATATATGCTGTCTTTCAGTTTTCCCTCTATTTAGAGGCCCAAATGTGAACTTATTCCTGCAAAAGTTTTGCATTGCATACTTGCCTCTTAAAAGGGAACCAGGACACCCCCCCCGCCTTCCCCAGTGCCCTTCATGACTGATTTGCCGTTGATCCCGATTTTTTTCACCAGATCCTGATTTTTTAACTCAGAAATCCTGATTTTTGGATTTCATAGAGTGGCAGGTCTGAAGTAGAGAAATAAGAGATAATTAATGCAGTTGAGTAGAGATCTTTTTAAATATAAGGGAAAATTCACTGCCCGGAATAAATTTTTAGGGAATGAAATACGACAAAGATGCAAATGACAAACCCAGTTGGCCACAGTCACCCCCTTTGGGTTCATGACCTCTTGGGTGACTTTGGCCACGCACTATCCTAGCCACAGATATATTGCAAAATCCTACTGAAAACTTAATTAAATATATTTATCCTCTTTTCAGTGGTGTGAGAGTGGTGTGTTTTTTTATAATGTTAATAAACACACTTTTAAAAATAAATACTTTCTAAAGATAAATAAATTTCCAACAACTTTCAAATTCAAAAGATTACGGTACAGTGGAATCCTGTTATAACGAGATGGAGGGGACAGGTGCCAAATGTCCATTATACCAGGATTCTCGTTATAAGGGATCCAGTAATAAAATCAAGGGAAATAGTAAAGTAGGCCTAATCTATGAGTCTGGTTTTCTGTTTATTTCTTTTTGTAATCTCCCCTGATGATGATTTGGTTCAACATGACCTTTTTAGTCTTACTTGATCAAAAATCGATTCAGATTTCTTTCTCAAACAATAGCGATATTGACAGCTCGGCGTTGACGATCAGATAGTTCTCTCGGCTAACTTGCCACTGTGTTGTCCCTCACCCCACCACACCCTGTGGTGCGTTCCGCCTCCTTACCCACAATGGGAACATACCACACCCCGCCCACTTCACAGTACTTCACACATTCGCTCCATTCATCACAGTACAGCACTATGACCTCTCCATCCCGGCATCGGAGAAGTGAGAGGCATGGTAGGCCTAGATAATCTAGACTGGGCTGGCCTGTCACAAGAAGCGTTCTGCTTGTCTGCGCATACCACACTCTCCCCACTCATTCAATCCGGCCTTCATTGTAGTCAGGCACTCGTGGGCTCTCCCATTCTTTGTTTCACAAGATAACCAACAAGTTTCTCAACTGGCGAGGTTTTACATGAATAAATGGTCTATGCACTGTGCACAGCAGCAGCTTTTTTCCGGTAAAACCGACTCGCGTGTTTGTCTGATTGCGTTACATTAATATTTTATTTACAAAGATAAAGAAGGGAAAAAAACGGGTTTTTAGAAAAGTGTCTTTATAACAGACCTCGTTATTTCAGGACTCGTTATGAGTGGATTCCACTGTATCAAAAAGCTGAAGCCGCCATATAATTGAATCGATGAAAATCTGCACAAAGTTCCTCTGCAGAATTGTTTGGGGTAAAGAGTATTTGTTTATAATATATTATTGTATATCACAATATTTTTTAATAGTAAAGTAAGAAACAAAAACAAATTAAAAATTTTACTGAGGTGCCCTTGCAAAGAGAAACAAGATTTTTTCTTTATTGAATGGTCAGTCATCTCATGTGGTCATAGTCGCCCCTGTGTACCCAATGTAAAACATACATATATATATATATCTAAATTTGTACATATAACAAAAAGATTTCTGCATCCTGCAGGTTTCGCATTGTGTGTTTTACAACTACTATTATTGCAGAAAAAATGAAAACTGGTAGATCTAGTGCCACTGTGAAAAAGTCACTACAATACGTTTTCAAACTGAAGTACCACGTTAGCAGCCACATTTCAAAAGGGATCGACTTGATGCAGTCCGCTTCTACTTTCTTACCGTCAGCTACATGTATAGATAAATCAGTTAACTTTGTACATTGTATTGGTAAGATGTGACAATCATTGTGACACCTTGCCATTCATAATCCATAACACTTTTTCAGTATATTTCATGGATGCTGGGCAGGTGCTCTGGTATGGTTTGCTCCTTCTCTCCTGACAAACATCTTTGATTTATAGTCAGTTGCCTGTCCCCGTTTTCTTTGCATGTTTCTCTCTTGGACCTATTTACATCGCAAGTGCTGAGTAAAACTCTCACAAAAACTAAGAAGAGCTCATTACTTTTTGTACAAAGAGCCAAGGTGTGCGTCCTTTATCAAGGAAGGCCAGGGCCCTCCCACCAACATCGTTGTGTCCCCGACTCCATGTATGTATGATTCGCCAGGTCATTATGAATGAGCTAAGGGCATCATGCCCTTAAACTATTCGCTACCATAGAATTACAAAGTTTTATCTGACATTTTCGGCCGTTCGGAGTTATTTAGACCATGAGGTCAGAAAACAAATGCTCTATCAAAATCATAAGAATATTTATTATTTGGAGTCGTTATCAAGATAAGAATTGCATCCGAAAAAGCTTAACACACTGTGAAATTCAAAAATTTTGACATAAAAATCTCAAAACTAGGTACTGAACAGACAGAACTTTGTAATTCTCAGGTATGGTATTGTCTAAGACAGATTAACACCTATACACTACCCCTCCCTTTCCATGATCCAATAGTAAGAAATTTCAATTTCAAGACAAGTACAACACAAAAGATATAAAAGTGGAGATGAAAATCATTTTATTTCATAATCACATTCACACTACAAATCTGGTAAAAAAAAAAAATTATTAAAAATAAGGGGAAGGGGGATACGGGCTGTAAAGATTTCTGAATAGTAAGTTGATGACAGAGAAGGAAGTATTCTCTTTTCATTAGAAGCATAAAATCAAGTAGTGGGATTATACAAGTGCAATGCTAAACAGTATCACTTATTAATTGGTTATTGATGGGATATAGACTGGACTTCTCCTGAAAGTGACAAAAATCTAAGACATCAATGCTTCTACTAAAAATACTCTTTTGTTGTTTGAAAGACAGAAATAGAGCAAAAAAACAGTCAAAGACGAAGCATTTTTCCAAAATAAGACATCCATTCTTAAGGCGTTACCAGTATCCACAAGCATCTCTTGTTCTATGGCCTTACTTTTAGAATTGCTAAACTGGCAAGTAATAAATTTCACTTGCTCCAATGGAAAGGCTCAATAAGAACCATTTTAACTTATGGATACGACATGGCTGCAAGATTGCAAGATATGGAAACAGAGCGTGAAATGATCAAGAAATTGTTTTAAGTTACAACTTTTACCCAAGATGGGTTAACAGCCTATTTTTTCTTATTCTCAGAAGGTAGACATTACAACCCACCAATCGGAGGTGACAAGGAATCTGTCACTTGGGAGAGAAGTGGCCAGCAAACATGGAAGGGAATGGAGCAGAACATTGACTGTGCAATGAATGAAGAAAAATGAACATAGAGGAATCTGTTACTTGGGAGAGAAGTGGCCAGCAAACATGGAAGAGAATGGAGCAGAACATTGACTGTGCAATGAATGAAGAAAAATGAACATACTAACAATAGAACCTGGAAATGGTGAGGCAATGTATACAACATCAAGAGGAATAGCAAATACACTACATTTCTCCTAATTATTCAAATAGAAAGCATCAACAGGACACAAAGCATTCACCGTCATCTGCTCTTTTATCATATACACTGCACATTTACTCATGAACACTGAATAAGACCAAAAACAAAAACAAAAAATTCTTGTACTCTTCAGGTAACTGATTATCATACCTCTCAGGCTCGCTCTTAATCCACGACGCAGAAGCCAAACCCACACTTTCCTGGACATATTATCACAGCTAACAGGGTATAACTTTTCATGCATAACCTCTTCAAATAAAAGCCTGGCAAAGCAAGAACTTTCGTGCAGAGACAAACAAAAACTGCCAGGTACAAAGTCTGAAGTCCACACAGAGTTCAACATCTACTTCTAGTTGCACATCTGAGGTATGCTTCACAAGTTCTAGTAAACAAAAATGGGAAAACCCAACACACTGGGTCGAAATTAAAAATTCAACTTAAAGCATATAATATTATGTTGGAAACAAAACACATATAAATCTCTAAGAAATCTTTTAGATGATTATAGCAACTCTTGATGAGTAATACAAATGGAGCAGAAAAGGTTTTAGAACTCATCAGTTCTTCTGTGTATTTTAGTAAGTTTCTCCAACCCAAAGCCACCATTAGTTATTGCAAAAAAAAATGAGTGTAAGTTTCAACATCACTCTCTTGGGATGGCCATGAGGAAGTAAAAATTACTTTGAGCATTAGCTCGACAACTGGTTAAGTTGGAACAAATTTCATAAGCAGACACATGGCGATAGTATCTGCATTCCTCACACTAAAAGCAGACAGCTAGGGAGTCGAAATGCGTGGCAATTATCATAGGCGCCACAAAGTTAACACAATTATCACTATTTAACACACCAGAGTTTTAGATGGTGTGGCTAAATGATTTTTTATTAAATACTGAGCAAATAAAAAAAGACGAAGGTGTCAAAATTCATCTTGCTTGTTAGTTGAGACACATCATTTTATAACAAAAGATCTCTTCAAAATCAGGCTCTGGGGTTGTTGGCCGGGGTGTTCCTATGTCTCAGGCCTTCCACGTTATCAGTTGTTGCACCATCACTGAAACACAATATAAAAAGAATATATTTAAGCATATCAATTACTTATTCAAGTACAACTCAACAATACACTTACAGGACAGAGCATATTTAAAACAGAAAAAGAAAAGCAATTCTCCAGACAACTTCAGACGAGAACCCTGAAACTGGGAGTAAAGGCTTTATTGAATATAACTTGAATGCTATGTCCTAATTTAGAATTACAAATTAGTGATAATGGTCCTGTACAGACAAACTTACCCTGCCACTGAAACTTATGCTGTCTAAAATGAAAATAGCAAAACCACTACCAAAAGCACAAATGATCTCCAAGTCCAACACTATGATGGCATAGACCAGCTTAGAGGAGCTATAAATTTCAAATTTACTTTATTTTAAAAGACATATATAAGGCAATGCATGTCACACAAGGGTTCAAAATCAGAATCACACAAACTGTTAATGGATGGGAGGCATAACACCAAAATTGACTTCATGTAACATCAAAATTGAAAGCTGAAAGTCCCAAAATGATAAACATAACTAGATTCGTGTCAACATTCTAGTACAAAAAGAGCCCACATCATACAACAAAATATCCAATTTTGTTTGAAAGGGTGATATTATATCTCAGCTTTGTGTACTATTTTATTCCCCCACACTCACATCTGAAGGAATAAGCATGAACCTCAAAACACAAATAATTGTGAAACCAAAATAGAAGCATAAACAGAATGCTAATTTTTAAAAAGGTACGGGTCAAAGATTTAGAAGGAAAGTTTCATTATAAAACAATAGAGGAGCAGTCACTGCAACAGGGGGCGGCTGTCTTGTATATCATCAGAATGTACACTCAAGTGGTGGGTGGGTTGTGGGGGGGGGGGGGGGGGTGTGTGTGTGCAAATGTAGCAATTGAGAGGACTGTAGAGCTTTGAGGGACTTCACACAACAACAAATGCAAGCAGTATTCAAAGCAAACACACTTATTAATATTCAAATCATTTTGTTGAGAGAAATGACATGAACCCAACGCAGACAGAACCCATTCACATAGCTCCAGATCCCCTTGTGCACTTTCTCTTGCTGCCCAACAGCAATATCCACAAGAACATTTCCCCAATATGAGAAAGTACAATCACTGAGAAAATATTTCCGCAAGAGCTAACCGGAACGGATTAAATCAAGTTTTTACGTGATAGTAATAGCAATTCAAGTTGATAATGTTTTTTAGTTTTAGAAGAGGTTTTATGGCGCTCACAACTGCATAAGGTCATATGAGCGCCAGAAGATTAGAAGTGTTACAAGAGAGTAACTAACATAAAAAAGAAGAAGGGGAGATAAGGACGATAGATGTTTGATAAGAAAGAAGGAGCAAACCACACCAGAACACCCTCCAACCACCCACAAATTGATAAAGAAACAGACATGACAAACAAAAAAGGGTATGAGCATACCGACTGTTTAAAAAGACGAATTATTAGAATTACTTTATAAACCACAACCACATAAATGATTAGAACTGAACAAATTAAATTAGTGGAGTAAATATTACACAACTTTCCAATTCCAGAACCAAAGCCTGTTCCATCTCACCACGCCATCCCCACACAACAAAACCCCGGTTCAAAATGTGCCTTGGTGCTAAAATTCCATCCTCAAGGGTAAAAATGCCTTGTCATTTGTACCCTTCACCATATATTTCCCTACACCACTGACATATATCCTTAACACCACAATTTATTATATAGAGACACTACACAATTACTACCTGAAAATAAACCAATGGCTTTTTGGCAAAGATGGACGTCAGTCCTTAATTAAGCACACTGAAGCAATGCTGATCACTTATCCTAAAGAAAAGCAACACAATAAGCGAACAGAAATTAAAGTAGTAACTGAAAAACAAAATGTCAACTCAGGCCTGAAAACCACCCTGGAATTACATTAATCATATTTATGGCAGGCACATGTTTTGATTTTGCAGAGCCACAGTCAATTAACAACTCGTAATACATTGGTTTGGATGGCAAGTGCCATGTCAGTTTTTTTATACCTTCAACTTAACATTATTTCAGACAGTCCAAAGCTTTACTTCCAAAGAAAGAAGCTATTTCATTTCCAAAAACATTAAATAATCAACCACTCTGTTGAATAACAGAAATATCCCACGTAAAAATCTTTCTCGACTTTTTAAAAGGAGGTCCTAAAATCTAACTTTTCCAGGCATATTCTCAGAAGCACGCTACTGTGCTCAGAAAACAGAATGTCAACTCAGCAACTTCCATAGGGGATAGGAAAACGCGAAGCCTTTGATAATGCTGTGGAATCTTGAAAACAAGGAGCACTTGAGAACGTTTTAACAGTTTCTTACACATGAGTATTATGCGTATCGAAAGGAAGACAGATCATCTTAGTTTGATAGGAGAGTTTGCAAAAATAGATTTGTTTTTCAGCTGAGAGTGCACAAGCGCTGACAAGTTCTTGAATATATACCAACAATGGTGAACCTTTAACAAGAAACCGAAGAGCAGAAAATTTCAGGAAAAAACAACACAAGGCTTGATATTAACAGAAACTACTACTGCAGATGGGATGAATAAACTTTGTGAGTATATCAGTCCAGAAGTGACACTAAACATATAATTATGATGGTTATAATTTCTGCTGTCACCCTTCTATTATTTCTCTCTCTCTACCTGCCCTGTATTCATGTTCATAGTGAGAAAAACCATCATCTTGAATCCAAATGTCAAAAAGACTACAGTCAATTCTCTTCATTTTTAGTTTTCTAGAAGATTTCCTATTTAACTCTTTATCTCCGAGGGGGGTAAACCCACTACACCAGAGTCCTTTTTTGGTACTAGTACTAATATAAAAATGACGAAAACGTCACTAAATGGGGTATTCAAATCGAAACAAGCGAACCCATTATGATAGTACTTCATCTAATGAATGAACTTCTGGTAAAAGAAATCTGTTTTTGGCAATCGCTGAAAAATAATTTGATGTCGAAGTTGTTGTAAAGGAATGTGCCCAAGCCGCGGTCAGCACCTCACCGGCACAGTAGTCCTGACCGTGAGCCGCTGGGAGCGAGCGACTTGCCGGAGATAAATAGTTAACCCCACCACCTCCACTTAATTGCAGAGGTTCGAAACTTAACATTTGATGTTTTCCCCACATGAGTAAAAAGAGTACTTTTACTCTCTTAACCACATAAAAAGTATTGTGCTCAGGTTCACCATTACACTCTATGTTTATTGTGCTAGAAATGGCAGGCTAGTTTAAATCTTGCTGCACTGATCCTTGTTTTTTGAGAGCACTTTAAAGTTGGCATATTTTATCTCATATCTATAATAAAAATTTCCTTTTACTATCAGGAAAAATCATTAAATCCAAACATCACTGTAAATGCCATGAATCTAATTTAATTAGCAAGTCGCAGATGTTAGTAGCAACATCTAAAGATGTACCCTTTCCCAAACTTTATATATTTTAAGTTTATAAATCTTTAAAATAATTTACAGAACATGGCAAATTGGCAACATAATGTGTTATCCCGGAAAATATTTTAAATGTGAAAGTTCTAAAAGAGAAACATTTTTTTTGCAATTGTTACAGACCTAACTAGCTAGCTGCTATTATCATATTTTGTTAGTAAGTCAAATTCAACTCCATGTTTATAAAGCTTATAATCTCCCAAAGTAAAAAAAATCAGTACAAAGGACCAAACACTGATCCTCAGGCTTGCTACAAACAAAACGGCATCTCTTTGAGAGGGGGGTAAATCTTTCTGCAAAAATTTTTCATGTGGATTTTAATTAAATTGCCCGTCCCTGAGTACAGGTGCACATAAATAAGAGTATGTGAGCAAAGTTGGTTAGGGTGATATGATTATGGAGACAGGATGGAGTGGGATTGAGGGTGTGTTTGAGGGAGTGTCAACAGAGTGAACAAACAGCATATAGCCAGCTAGAGAGAAACAAATACAATATTCTATGCAACTTCAAAAGTCACTTTAAAAGAAAAACAATTAAAGAAATTTGGCAACTCCACACTACTTTACGTTAAATATGTAAGACAAACGGTGAATTTCACACCTAGATGTTTAAACAAAAGCTACTCGCTTTGTTTAGCAGCACATCTTATTTACTCCATTATTTAAATTAACAGTGCTGTGACCATAAAATACAACCTAATTTCTAAGGCCTAAAATTTAAAAATTGAAACAAATGCCGTGATGCAAAAACCATATTTCTCTAAAATCCGTCAGTGAGTTTTATCCCAGTTATCAGTACCACTGTACCATTCTTTTAATGCAAATACCTTAACACCAGTCTAAAATCCAGTTACTCTAAAAGAAACAGCTACAAAACTAACAAATGTTTCGTTTTTATATTCTAATGACTCCTACACATTTTAGTTCTGGCAATTGGCTGAGCCAAAATATGTTAAATGTAATAAGAGACAGTTACAGCAAATAGACCAAAGCTTATATTTCTCTGATTCTGAACCTGACGTTGGCTTGAACAATAAGTGTATAGACACAGCATAAAAATGTGGGATAGTGTTAGTGTTAGGGAACAAGTTAGCAAAAAATATGCCCCCAAGTCTGTATGCACCTAAAAATCTATTTCTGGTTTCTGCGATTCCGCACATTTCCTTTCTTTTCAGGTTGGTCACTGTTGAGGAAACAAAAGCAAAACAAAGGGCATCAAAAGCAGACACTAAAGAAGAGAACATCACTGTTTAGCAGCCCTATTAAGAGACAAAATTAAAGAAAACATGCATACTGTAACATTACTGATATACTGAGCTACAAAGAACCAGCAAAACAGGAACACATTTTTTAAAAAAGAAAGTTGGGATGACACTGATCCCCCCCCCCCCCCCCTGTAGTGACATGTCAAAAGTCATCCCGACTGTCACAATGCCACAATGAATTACAAACAAAAGAACAAAAGGGGAAGAAATAAAATGACACATGAGACATGTAAGGCAACCAATAGAGCAACCCAAAATTGCTTACTGACATCAAATAATGGAAGGAGGAGGGAGAGTATTTCCATACAGTGATTTATAAGGATTTAATAAACCTGCCCCAAACAGCTTTTCAAAAGTACTCTTGCTATAGCAGGGTGGTTGCCAAACTAACTTCACAACTCCCAAGGGAACATAACTGTAAAGGCACACATACGTCAACATATATACGTGGATAAACAGACACACATACACACACATTAAAAATCTTTCAGCAAGTATGCCAAAAAGTGAATAAGCAAACACTCATTCCTTTCAAAGTGTTCCCAAACTTTATGTCCTGACATTTCACTGATTGTTGCTCAATACTCTAAACACTAACTGTCAATCAGTATCTGATTATGGTTCATAAGTCATCCAATGAAAAGTATATTTCAAAACATTTTTTCCAAACAAAGACAAGCCAACAAGGCTATAAGAATTTGTGTATTTGAGGACAGTTTTAACCAATTTCTTTTTTCCTTTGACACGAAATAAATCAGGCACCCTGAATAGTATCACCTCTTTTATGACGAGCTTTTAAAATAAAAAACCTCACATCCCTTTGACAACATACACAAGCATACTCCACATCCACAACCACAGTTAATTTTCAGACTTTCCCGAATTTTTTTTTTTTTAATTCCCTGGCAGTCACCCAGTGAAAGGTCTTTCAAACTAAAAGAAAACCAAAATCTTTGGGGGCATCAAAAGCCTGGCAAAATTTCCCACATCTGTTGGTTCAAGTCCAAGAAACACAATTACACCAATAAAGCAGAAAGCTCCCTAATCCATTTCTTACCAGCTGAAAAGACAAACAGTCTTGTATCTCATTGCAAATATATAAAAAACAATTCAAAATGTTTATCCCTTCATTGACATATTTACAAGTAATAATTCTTTACTTTAAACCTCAAACAATATTCTTTCAATTATGAACCTTTTTCAGAAGTGCAAGTTTTTCTTGTCCTTTGCTTAATTCATATGGAAAAGCCATTACAGGAACCAAACAAAAAATTCGAAATACTAAAAATTTTCCAAGTTATCGAAATATTCAGAAAAAGGGTATGCTAATAGTCTGCATGCTTCTTTCCCTAAAACAGTTCCTTAAACAACGTCAATATAATAAAAACCAAATAAAAATGGTGACAACATGGAACTTACGCCTCCTGTGCATCGTTGTCAGCCTGCTCCGCCTGCCTGTTGCGCTTCTTTTCATAAATGAAAATGATTGTGCAGAGGATGAACACTTCACACACGATGCCAAGGAATGGCCACAGGGCAGCGAGTTTGTCTGAAGAAAGAGGGAAAGCAATTTAAAGATTTAACTCCTCCAGCTGAAGAAATGCAACCCGTTTAAGGCAATTAAGATATTTCAACGAAATAGCATGGAAACGTGTTACACTGCGAGTTGAACAACACGACAACAAGTTTTCTTTAAATTAACCCTACCTCCCTCTTGCACGGTTCAATTAGATCGGCCGATTTCCTGCCATGAAACTGGCAGGGCCGATCTCATAGGACCATATAGTAAACTGCTGCTTCTGCTTTCCAATTAAATATTTAGGGCTTCCTCAAGTGATTTCTGATAAGCGAAAAGGCTAACCTCCAACCAATCAGAATATTTCTAACATTCTGGCTTAGGAAAAGAGTATTTTCCTTTCAAAACAGGGATTTTTTGAAAACTTGTTGGTCAGAACACAAGCCAGTGTTGATCTATTACTTGTGCAATTCATGTGGGTCTTAACTCTTTCCGGACGTAGTTTTTTGGGGGTCTTCACATAATTTACTTTTTCCTTGAATTGGCTATGCAGGTGGTGTACAAAATAACTTCATAGAAGCATAACCATCAGTCAAAACGTAACATATGATATATCAAATTGAATGAAGAATAAATCCCAATATGAAACAAGGATTAATTCTGAACAAAAGTATGCATTAGAAGGGTTAGACATGGCGATGGTGATGAAAAAAAAATTTTGACGGAAAAAATTACATTTACCAAACATGTGAAAGCAAATCAGCATAGCTATCTTATCATATACAGGCCAAGAGCATAATCCATAAATTTCTGAATGTGCAGCTTTTTATTTGAAAGCAATATTCCAATTTTTGTTTGAGTTATGATATTTATACTGAGTTCGATTCCATCGTTTTGTTGATGCAAGACCGCAAGAACTAATTCACTCATTTTTCCCCAAACCCACACTATGACAAACTGAAACAATACTGAGGCACCCTATCACAGCCGATATTTCGGCGATACGTCCAGAAAGAGTTAAATCGCCAAAAATCGATCTTTGTGGGATACATTTGAACGTGAATTGACCAGGGAAGCAATTCAAACACTGTTAGTGGTAGATTTGTTGGTGATCAGTCAAGAATTGAGATTAGATCTGACAGAGGATGGTGATACCAGTTCTCATCCAGCCCTAACTTCTTTCAAATGGAACACTACCTTTGGGAGTCTAAGAGGGGTTGAAAAAGGAGAGTTATAGAGTAAAGTAGGTTCCTTTTGCAATACTACTCATTACAGACTACCAGCAGATTGCTGAAAACCAATGGTTGTACTTCAAGTGTTTTTATGTTGAGCATGGTGTGAAGGTTGTGAGTATCAGTTGCGCTCGAAAAAGACCACATGGCGAATTGAAACAGTTATACCCTAGACGGTCATATAATCAGGCCACCTGCGCGCTACTGACCTAGATTCCTTGTGGGCTGACACACCCGTGTAGTAGGCCCACAACCTTGTAGATCATTAGTAGTGATAAGCCTACGCAGGGTGCGGCGGTCAGTTTGAATTGTTGTTTTCTCATGCTTTGACACTGGATTATTTCTGCCTAATGCAGTTTGCTTTTCAAGTCATCTGGATTATGTGAATATTTTCTACATCATTGTGTGGTGAGGAACAGAAGTGGTGACTAATTAATTAATTAATTAAGATTGACCAACAGTTTTGAGATCGCAAATTTGAAGTGCTGTTTGGCTGCACTGTAGGCCTACTGTTCATTTTCAGATTCTTCATCGCCATCGTACTGAATGCCTGGATTCTTTTAGTTGAGGCCTAATGCAGTTGGGTTTTTTTCAAATCATCTGGATTGTGTGAATATCAAATATCTCTTCCATCAGTGTACGTGTTTAGATTAAACCTAAAGTGAAGTTTTGACCGTGCAAGTTTAATTCATATCTGTCTAAAATCCATGTCTACACAGTGGAGGCCCCCCTCCTGATCCGCACACTCTTCACTGACTTAGAGTCTCTCTATGCAAACAACCACTAAAAACGAACTCTCCATCCTATCCCTAGATCTACTTTTAGATTTAGATTAGTTTGTAACACAAACAATAGACTAAAAGGACCATGTAGATATAAATCTATATATCTAGACTCTGAGCGTCTAGGGGCCCACCCTTGTTAGTAATGTTAGGTAGGGAAAAGTATACGGATCATAATTATGGGGGAGCTTCTTTGTGTTTTTCCCGACCTGCTTTGTATATTAATATCTGCTGTTCTTTCACAGTGCTTACATGCTTCTCTTCTAGGCCTATTTATTGCTTTCATCATGTGTGGTTATGACTCTGTTGGACTGTGACTGACACCTTCAAAATAAACTGAAGGAATAAAAACAACAATGGGAAGAAAATGCTCAGTTGGTGGATGCAAAACTGGCTATGACAGTCAGAAAGGTGCAGAAAAAGTGACCTTGTATGGATTTCCTTCAGATGAAACAGCATGTCGGGCATGGACTGCTAGCTTACCAAACATTTTATCCTATGAAAAGGTGTCAAAACATATCAGTGTGTGCCCTCCATTTCCGAAAAACTCTAACTCAACTCAAGTCAACTTTCTGTCTTTCCATCGCTTTTGTCTGTCTAGAATAATTTTTTACATGTCCGTTAGTTTGAACACAAACACAGGGAAGCTAAACCATTGAGAGAGAGAGAGAGAGAGAGAGAGAGAGAGAGAGAGAGAGAGAGAGAGAGAGAGAGAGAGAGGGGTGGGGGGGAGAGAGGGGGGGGGGGAGAGAGGGGGAGAGAGAGAGAGGGGGGAGAGAGAGAGAGGGGGGAGAGAGAGAGAGGGGGGGAGAGATTGAGAGGAAGAGAGAGAGAGAGAGAGAAGGGGAGAGGGAGAAAGAGACTGCCTAGCCGTGGCCGTTGTAATCATTATTATCATTACGAAGGTCACTGTTTGCTGTGGGCCGAAGCCTGAGCGGCCGGTGTGCCAGCCCACAAGCAAGGTGTGTAGTTCTTGGGCTGTGCTGCCTGATTTATGATCGCCTAGGTTATACCTCATTACCTGTTCTTCTCAAACCTATAAAACTATGCATTTTCTGAAAGGTTATTGAAAAAACCTATATTTCAGCTATCTCACATTTTTCATAACATGATATACATTAGATTGGTGAATATGCTAATGAGCATGTAAATGTTTTAAGTCATCCATCTTGAATTTCAAAGTTATATAACCCCTTGTAAATTAAAACAAATATGTTCAAAGGCAAAATATAAAAGTTCATTGAATTACCTTTCAGTAAATATATACTGATACTTTTGTAGGGTTATTATTTGACACAAGTTCATAAATTTGATTTGTAAAGCATGAGCACCGTTTGGCTGATTAGCCTTGCCATTCCTGTTGAAACCACTTGCCAGAGTTAGGGTTAAAGAATGGTATGTCCCGCGAAACTAACTCAACTATTCAAACGTTTTAAATACATTATCCTGACAATATCTCCTATTGTCATGATAATATATCCTTTTTCTTCTATACTTTTTTTTCATTTTGAAGAAGACAATGAGAATATAGTCCTTCCCACCAGCACAAAGAACATTAAAGGCAAAAGCAACAAAGTAAGCTGAAACCTTTTTTCAACACAAAAGATAGGTAGAAATGGACAAAGGACTAAGCTTTCTTACCTTTCACACGAACGACAATTGTCTTGGCATTGGTTTCATTCAGAGATTCAGTGTAGGCCTCACACCTGTACTCGCCAGCATCAGAGAACTCGACATTCTTGATTGTGAGTCTGGCGTTCTGGTACCCATCAAGAGGAGTCTGCTGGATGCGATCGTTGTCCTTGCTCACGTTGAGCTTCTGGTCATCCTTGAACCAAGTGACCACAGCGTAAGGATAGCCCTTCACTTGGCACCGAAGCTCCATGTTGTCTTCCTGAATCAGATTCTTTGACTTTTCGAAGTCCAACACAAGGGGGCCAGCTGAAATTTGGAGAGACAAAAATGTTGGAATCCATCCCGCTTTTTGCTTTTTTAAAAAAAGAATTAAGTACAATACATTGCATTTACTGAATCTTAATTGGAGTAATTTGTAATTCTAGTCCAAAAGAATTAGCTAGCCGGGCAAAAAAACCCGTGCTGATACACATCTTGGTGAACTTTTCTACTGTAACAGTAACTACTTTTCTCCTAGCATCTGACAATCCAACTATGCGTGCATGGCTTGTGATGACCTAACAGAAGCACTGGGTCATATTTTTTAACAACCTGTCAAGAGGTCTTCTTTCACAAACACAAACGCCAACATGTGATATATCTGGTGGGTGCCCTGATAAAGTGGACAAAAAAGCTATCACGTGTATTATTGCATGTGGGTGGAAGAGACAGTAGAGGTGCAAAAATTTGCATGTGGCTGGAAGAGACAGTAGAGGTGCAAAAATGACACCATCATAAACACTTTATTCCCTTGAGCACCTAACCTGTTAAATATTTTCCTTCCATGCAGTCAGTCTCCTTAGAATTGGATCTTGTAGCTTAAGCCTAAGATCTGTACATAAATACACAAGCCATTTGACAGGGTTTTTATGTCAAAATACAAACGTATATATCATCTTAACCTTGCTTTCGTCTCAATAAACTTTCCTTAAATCAGCGATGGGCGGAAAACATCAGTGATGGGATTTTAACAGCAAAGTGCACTGGCCTAAACCTATTCCGTTACCTCTAATTATGTGGTATAGAAACACTGCTCACATGCTAAAGATCCTGATTTTTTTTTTAAATGCACAAATGGCCATATGCCAAATTCTTAAACTTTTGGGACTTTTTCTATTATCCCTGTACCAACATGGGAAATAAAAAAACTTTGTTGATTCATCCTACATTCGTACTTATCACTTGCACTGATGGGAAATCTGGTTTATCTTGCTCTTTTGGCAATGATGATTTTATTCATAAAAATGCAACACAGAAACATTTATAGAACGTTTTGATAACAATGGGGTATACTTACCAATGTAAGCAACCTGGCAATCATACTTTTCAGAACCATCAATCTCAAACTGAGCGACGTACAAGCCAGCGTCTTGACGAGCTGTAGAAAGAAAAAACAGATCAAGTTTCAGTGAACAAAACAGTACACACACACACACTGTTTAAAATAAGACTCATTTTATTGAGCAAAATATTCTGCAACATTCTGAAATTGTTCATAACGTTCAAAGTTATATCAAACCAAAAGTAGTAGTACTAGCATTTCAACCTTTTGAACCCGCACCCCATGAGCCTTCCAGACCCCTGCACTTGGACTACTGAGCCCAATTCGGTCAAATCCTACACCTCCACATAAGCCCATTTTTAGTAAAAACAGCTTATGGCTATGTTATCCGACATGTTACTGCATTCCTAAATCCTTGTGAACAAAATTTTTTTTCCAGCCAGCTGCTAAATGATCAGCATCCCCACATGCATTGACTCTGTTCACATTTGGAGTGTCCATTTTGAGTGTCAAACAACTACAACTTTCCAAATTGCTGTTTTCTTCACCACTCAAAACTGTTGCTCTCACTCACCTTACTACCGAGTACAAGTCACTATTAAGGCAATTTACTGAGAAATAAAACTTAAGCCTGAATTACTGAAAGGATCTATCACTTGATCAGCTGTACACAAGCACTGAACTTTGTCAGAATCTCAAAAGGTGAGAAACTGTTTCATGTTGAAAATTCTCATGTTTTTAGAAGTTGTCATCTTCAGAAAGAATTTAGAACACATTATATAACAAAATATGATGAAACTTGTCAGCTTTTACAGAAATGGAACAACACATGCAATAGGTTCAATATAAAAAGGAGGGAAGACTCGATATAGTTAAGCAAGGAGCTGCAACCTACACACTTTACTTGGGGAAACTGTCAGAGAAAACTTTTGAGAAAAAACTATCAAAGCCGCATACTTTTTTACGATATCGATACAATTAGAATGCAGATTCCATCAAATGGTTACAGACCCCTTCACAAAATTACTCTGTACAGCCCCAATCCAAATATATTCGTCTTTCTGCAGTATGTTAAGTGACTTCCTGAAACAAAAGAAAACACAGACCAAACAGAAAGGCACTACCAAGAAAGAAGGGAGAATGTGTAACAAGCAAATGCACACAGACGGACAAGTCTCACAACTTCAATTTTTATCCTGAAAGAGCAACAAATGCTGCCCCAACACTTTAAAGGTCACCCCAGTCCTGTAGATATGTTTTTATACCTGAAAAGCATATTCATTCAATATAAAATCTAACTGATAGTCCATAGCTCAGTAAAAAAAAAAAAACGCTGAGGGTACTTAAATCGTTTGATGGTGCTGGTTTTGGTAACCAGCAATCTAATTGTATCGATATCATTAAAAAGTGTGCGGCTCTGATAGTGCGTGGCTTTCTGTTTTAGTAAGCATTTTACGGCACTTGCAACAAAATCAAAGAGTTTGAAGAGAAATTTGCAGCTTTTCAAAAGATCAAGTTTTAGGCCTAGATTTTATTTTAACGTGTACTGTAGACTCTTTTCTCTCTTCAGTTCAGTACCTTTGTTGTCTTCTCTTACTTGAGCCTAGATTTGACCGTAGCCTAGATCTATCTTGTCTAGATCTAGATTTTCTAGATCTAGAAGAAAGAAGAATCGGAAAGGTTTTCCACCTGTCCTGTATCGTCTCCAAAATCCGTATTAGATCTAGATCTACATTACGACAGAATAATAAGCAAGCATAGAATGATAATTCCTTTCTTTAAAAAAAATTATTCCACTCACGCCACAATCTACTTTGGTTAGATCTAGAATCTAGATTACCTAGATCTACATTAGATATAGTCTAGTATTTAGTAACCCATCACCATCATGCCCATGTAGATCTAGATTCTAGATCAATGTGAGAACAATAGATCTAATGGGCCAGTACGTATGTTCTCAGTGTCACTGGGAATAATTTCTTGGCCTATTCCCAGTGACACTGGGAACAATTCTGGGCCTATCCCCAGTGTCACTGCGAATAGTTCTTTCCATTTTTAAAAAGAGCTAAAACCAAACAAAGACAACAGCAAACATAAACTTACTTGTCTCCGAAATTACCAAGGTTTTATTTTCAAGGGAAGATTCAAAACGATCGGCATCCTTCAGCTCTGAAACCTTGGTTCCATTTTTGAACCAGATGGGGCCTTCGATTTTTCTGGAACTCGATCCGGGAATGCTGATACTACAGGACAGGGTGGCTGTGTCATTGCCCATGTAAAACCTCGGCTCAGTCTTATTTTCTGGTGAAAAGGAAAAGTGAGATGTCTAAATAACTAGGTATATTCCCATTCTGCATGATGAAAATCATTGTGAAACTGTTTAAACAACTTAACCCCTTCCTAGAATCAATGAATCAAATAAAAACATTTAAATCAGGACGTCTTTTTTTTATATGACCTCACAAAAATACAGGAACAAAAAAGACATAATTGTAAAGAAAAATAATTGAAAAGATATATGCTGAAATAGCACAAAATTTCACAGGGAAAGAAAAGCTGCAGAGTACTGTGGGGTATCTTTCAATGCTTTCGCATATTTGCAAGATCAACTGGAGTACCTTCTGAGCCTTTTCAGTGTCCACAAAAAAACATAATGCAACTAATTAAAAAAAATGTAACCCCTCACCAACATGAAACTTCAGCATGTTTACAAGATAACTAACAGTACCACAACAGTACACACTGAAAGGAATTCCCTTGAGAGCTCAACTTAAAGCATCTAATACTACACTAACCCAACTCTCATATAAAATATTCAGTTTTAAGAACTAGAATGATAAGATCTTAGAATTAATATTAGCTGTGCTGAAGACTTAGAGGTCAGACAAACATTTTCAGAAACATCAGAACAATAGAATAGAGGTGACATATGTAAGAATGAACGTGTATTTGCACATTTGAGGTGAACAAAACTTAAGATCAATAATGACGTTCAGTTAGTCACAACATTACAGTAAAGTCTTATAATAATACAACTTCTCACCTTTGATGGCAGTGAGAGTGATGTCATAGGTCGTCTCTGCTACATTATTCAGCATCAAAGAACATGTGTATTTGCCAGAATACTGAGAACTGAAGCTGGGAATCATAATGTTATGCTCCAAGTTCAAGCTGCCACCGATAGACTTCTTTGCTTCAATTTTTTCAATACGCAGGGTATCCTTCGGTAGAGTCCACTCTAACTTTGCATCCTTCTTCAGTGATGTTGAGCTGCAATTCAAGTACTGCATGACGCCATCTTTCATAAAGAGTTCCCGGACAGTGGGGGACACTGTGAGGGTATCTGCACACAAAAGGTAAGAGATAAATTAGTATTAAATTTGCAAGACAAAAACATGTCAAAGAAATAATATTCAAGTATTTGTAAAGCCTGACAAATGAAGAGACTGAGGACCAGAAAATTGTCATGTCCAACATAATAAAAGAAATGTAAGACTATATGAAACCAAGGTGTAACAATTTTGAAAGAAGAGAATGGCCACTATCACTAAGACTATAGAAACCAATGTGGGGAAAAGTATCCAGTGATGTTGCCTGCACAGAAATAAAATGACCGTACATTTTTATGCTTATGTCTCCCTACACAACAACCGTTACAATCATTTAAAGAAATTTTGAGAAAAAATACACTTTATTAATCAGGGTAAACGCTTACCTAGTTTAGGAATAATGCTGTTGACTCAATCCTTACAGTCAGAACATTAAAATTTGTTTTGTTTTGTTGTTGTTGTGTTGATGTTGGGTTTTTTTTGGGGGGAAGGGGTTCCTGGCAAGTGTTTTATGGCGTTCGCAACTATATAAGGTCATAGGAGCGAGTGGGACATATAAAACATTTTAAATTGGTACGAAATTTTGAATTTTGACTGGGCAGCAGCCGAAGCCTCCTTTAATTGATCTTGGACCCAAGGGAACTTTAACATGCACAACTTGCACCCGGGAATCCAACGTTTTTCGCCCTTATCCAAAAAGGATTGGGGTTAAATCGAACCGACCATAAAATCAGGGTATGGCTGAAAGACAGCAGTAGAAGGAGCCTAGGAGTAGCACTAGAAAGACTGCAGAAAAAGTCATGAGCCCAGAGGAGGGGGCAAAGGAGGTGAGGGGGTGGGGGAAAAAAGTGGAGACAAAAGCAGGTGACAGAACATTGTTAGAGTGCAGGACAGGACGTGAAGGGAGAACACTTTTAAAGAAGAAAATTTTCTGTCGCTGTCCAGATTCGAACTTGGGACCTATTGAATGAAAGGCGAAAACCATAACCTCTCGACCACAAGAGACACCTTGATTAAATAAAGGGTTAAAAGATTTTAACTATGATAGACTTCAGAGAATTTTTTGTGGCAAATAAACTCCACAATGTCAGCACATAGTACTAAAAAGAAACTTTTTGTGGGTGCTCTGGTGTGGTTTGCTTCTTCTTTCCTATCAAACATCTATCGTGTTTATCTCATCTCCCCTCCTTTTTTTGTGTTTGTTACTCTCTTGTAACACCTCTAATCTTCGCCATTATATGACCTTATTGTGCTGCAAGTGCCGTAGAACTCTTATTAAAACTAAACTAAAAGAAACTTTTGAAAAGGAATACAGAAAATGAATACTCTCGACTTTCTGGCATCTACCAATATCGGTCGATGGGAGAGGCACTTGAACATTTAAAGTATGGATCAGGGCGTGACTGCAGTGTATTTTACATTGTCATCTGACATAAGAGAACAAATTTTTTAGTGGTCAGGCTCATAAGCATCACTTTTTTCCTTTCTCTCACTTCCACTTTGATACTGAGCAAGACCAGGGCTGCCTTCCTCAAAGTTCCCATTTCAAATAGATTCGGGGATTTGGGCCAAAAATCAGGTAGTACAAGGACAAAGAAGGAAAAAAAAAGTTGATTGTTGCCCCAACGAACACGTTTGCTTTTCGTCATATTGGGGGGTGTGTGTGTGTGTGTGCATGCGCGCATGCTCTCGCGTGTTTATATATATGTGGGGAGGGGAAGGGGGTGTTTGGGTTTGCACAAGTTAAGATGAACATTGTCTATGAAATAAGATGAGGCTGTTTTGTTTTTTTTAAAGCATTTATGGACTATCGTTCAAGACACCTATCATCCAGTATTGAATCTGGAATTGAGCGCAGGGTGACTGCCAAACTGACTTCAAAATTCCTGGCCCATACCAATAGAAACTATATTAAAACATATTTTCCGGCACTAGCATAGGACACAGATAAAAAGTCCTTTGTGACTTAGGTATGACAGACAATTTTAACAAGTTTTGCCCTAAAAATACAAAATGAATCCTGATCTGGGCCTGAGGAGATGCAAGAAGCACAATAGCCAAAACCATGTTTGGTTTCAGCAATCACGGATTTCAAAAAGCGTGCAAGACAGAACTTAAAACCTTTATTGTTGGGCTCACGGCAGAGCAAAAAGTGACAATAGAAGAGAGCGCGTACTGAGAGCCGGTGCAGGAAGGACTGTGAGAGCGTGGGATGTAGTGATGCTGAAAACCTGGCAATCAGTGAATCACTGCATCATGGACTAAGTATTGATTATTTTCAAAATGCTAAATCACAGTACAGTGGGATGTTAGGTTCAGGGTTTCAAGGCTTGGCTTGGTCTGACATTGTCCATGGGAAAGGCTCTCACGAATGTTCCCATTTGGCTCAGTCCTATCAGAGATTGATGTTGGGGAGCAAGGAAATGCGGGATCTTAAGCAGACTGGATCAGTGCCGATGCACCTAGGAAAGTTTTCAATGCTGTTGTTTTTTTTTTAAGACCAGCCATTGATTATTTGATACTGATAAACTTTTGAGTACATTTATACGGTGGTTGCACCAAAGGCATGGCGAAATCACCCAAGCCCTACATGATGCAACCAGGCTGGCTGCGCGTTGAGCATGGTGATTCGTTTCAGACCAAGATGCTACTATCTCTTGGGTCATGCCAGAATAATTCTATCTAACCTCTGGTTATGGTTAGTTACAATCATAATAATAATCTATATTTCTAGTTTGTAACTTTGTATAAAAAGAAAACAACCCCCTTCCCCCCCCCAAAAAAAAAATCAAACCATTGCTAAGTTTTGAGGAGCAATACCGTTAGCATTTTACTTGTAATAAACATAGTTCAATAAAAGCTCTTCCATGCAACTTCATCAAGACCTAACTTTGCAGAACCAGGTCTCTCCATTATGCACAGATGTGTGTATATTACACACTATTAAACCTATTACCCCCTTTAAGTTTCAGTATTGTGTGAGCGTTACTCTTTGTGTGTGGTTTTGTTTGTGAGCTGTTGGGTATTTTGGGGGATTTTTTCTGTGGTTTTGGGGGTATTTTTGTTTGTTTTTGTTGTTGTTTTTGAGGGGGGGGGGGGGGTAAACGCTGAACAAGTCCCTTGTGGTACACTGATTGACATCTAAGATACAGAAAATTATGGCTGTCATTTTCACCCAGGGTGAAAATAAAAATATAATATATTAGTGAGAATATTATTCTCACCCGGTCTGAGAATGCAATAGATTTTTATTCTTACCTGGGTATTAAAACGGGTAGGCCTACATGTAGGCTAATAGGATGATAGAAAATAATTAGTGAAATATAGTGACCGTTCTTGACCAAAGATATCTTCACCAAAATCCTAGATATATTCTAAATTCAGAAAGGAATTCACTTGCCAGAGTAGTAAGTTTTTAAAAATAATAGCCTTAACAGGAAACCGGTCTTGTTTCACAGCGGGTGAGAATAGCCAATGTTGGCAGGTCTCACCCGGGGTGACAAGTCGATCGTATTTTTATTGGAAATGGCTATCCTACCCCGGGTGAGAATAAAAATACGATCGACCTCTCACCCCGGGTGAGACTTGCCAGTGTTCGCTATTCTCACCCGGTGTGAAACAAGACCTGTTTTTCCTAATTTCGGAATACTGTCTATCAGTGTGGATGACCAGATAGACAAAAACAAAGAAAAAATGACGTTATAACACAAAAGTAAGCTAATTTGGTTGTAGATGCTATGGCTATTTCACTTTTCAAATCGAGCCGAACTACGGGGGTCGCCATTTTGTTTTGCCCGGAAGTTCGCGCAAGATCTACTCCTCCCCTCTCTCTCTCTTTCTGAATACTGTCTATCAGTGTGGACGATCAAATTTACCAAAACAAAGTTTAAAAATATGTTAAAACACAAAAATAAATTAATTTGGTCGTCTAAGATGCTACGGCTATTTAACTTTTCGAATCGAGCCGAACTACACGGGTCGCCATTTTGTTTTACCAGCAAGTTCTCGCGCTGCTCCTCTCTCTCTTTCTCTCTCTCTCTCTCCACTGCCCACAGACGAAATTTCACGCTTTTAGGCTAACAGTAGTAACACGTTTGTTCACGGCACATAATTCTATCTGTTATCAAAGTTATCAAAATCAGTATGGAACGCCGAAAACCAGTACGTTACTAGATCTAGATAAAGGATTAAATTGCCGTAGTTTACGTATTTTTAACTCCAGCGCAAAGTGTTGGAGAAAGTACATGCAATTGCCTTCTTACTTATTGCACCAAACGCAAAGTGCAGCACTCGGCTTGTTCAATTCTCTAGCAATGCCAATGAAAATTTAAATTTCACTTTAGCCCTTTTTTTTGGTACTTAAGAAAGAATTTTCAATTCTAAGAATTATGCTTCTTGAATTTTAAGAATCGGTTCATAAATTAAAAAGTTATGGGGTTGTAAAGGTCGGCAAAATATGGATGACCCACATATATAGGAAAATACTCCTAAAACGTGGACCACGCAGTAGCAGATTCTGTAAGAAAATCGACTATTTCTCGGTAACTAATCGGAGTGTTCGAGAGAAACTTGGCTACCCGATGTGTTTTTAAGTGTAGAAATCATTTCTGCAGTCAGATTTACTACCAATTTCGTATTTATTTTGTTATAATTAAAATTTTGATGCACATATTACGATTTTGCGAAAAAGGGGTGTCGGGATGAGTCCATTTTATTTATAGCATCGTATCACAACATGGGATCTTTAAGAATATATATATGTCGCAGCGTGACTAAATAATTGCAAAGCTTTTTATGATGACTTTAGACCATGCCAACCGTAAAAGATAAAAGTTAATTCAATCTAGCATGCCGTACAATTAAAAATTCTTTTCCCCCCATTGAGACGCGAACACCCCGAGACGAGATAACCTCGCCTCGGAATACCCCCATTGCGATGTTACAGGGGAATAGAGAGAAAAACAGCCGGATGCGCGCGCCCGCCATTGCCCTATTTCATGTGACCAATGAACAGGCCCGAAATAGTCATGCGGGGATTTGTAGGTCACATACATTTGCCACGAGAGTGAGGGGAAAATGGCCGGTCTCCGTGCGGAGCCGCTTTGGATAGGGGGGTAGTATTTATGATCGGGTCTAAACAACTACTTGACACAGAACGTTCAAATTTGAGCACACAATAGAGGATAGATAGATCTATTACCATCTTGGCGTTGAAATTCAAACTCCTTATAGTTTTCGGTGTACACGATACGAAAGTGTTCCCGACACCAAAAGTATAGGTTAATTATCCGAACGTTCGGAGAAATAGTGCCGATCTTTATTTCTCCGAACGGTTTCCGGCTTCAGCTCTGGTCGTGATTGTTTGCCTATTTGCGAGAGTTCGGCGCCAACTTTCATTCCGTCATTCTGCGAGGTCTGGGAAGGAGCAAATCAATGGTGGTATCTGTTCCCAGCTTCTCCTCCGGCCGTGTGCCCACTGGTTTAGCGAGGCGGGTACTGCCTGAGGCACCCGAGAGACGGAGAAATCTGACCCTCTTTTCTATTGAGTGGACGGTTATCGTCCATTAAAAAAAAAAACTGAGCAAATTTTTGGGTTTAGATCTATTTCAATTTTCAAGAGCTAGATCTAGTCTAGAGATTTTTAGATGAGTGTAAAAACGTGAAAAAGAAAGGTTTCACAACAGAATGAAATCAAAACTAGAACAGCCCAGAAACAACCACAACAATTAACAAATAAGGGCGTGTGTCCACCTGTCCGAAGAAGATTGACCGTTTTAACCCTAAATGTGCGTAATTTGTAAAAAAAAAGTACAGGATATTGCATGGAAATTATGGAATCACACACAGGGGGCCTGCCAGTGTCAGTACATGTAATTGGTTTTGGTGGAACGCTCTAACATAGCACATTTAAATCTATACAGGTATATATATATTTAGAATCTAATGAAGGTAGGAACATCAAATTAAATGACGTTACACAATACCTTTTGTAGAAACATCAAATTAATTGACGTTACACTATACAACCCCCCCCCCCCCCCCCCCCCAATTTCCCCAACAACAAAAATTAATAGAAAAAACACACATCCAGAAAAAAAAAATACACACCAACAAAATATAACACCACAAAGAGGGAAAAATAAACGAAAAATAAAAGAGGAACAGCAATACAAATCGTATGTAACTGTAACGTATTCAACAAATCAACGTGGTGACAACAAGTGAGAAAGAGACGAAGTGAAGCTAAGTGAACTTTCTTTCAAAAGTAAAGAGGTTCATTTTCTTTTTTTTTTTTGACTTTTTCGGGGACCAAAAAATCGAGCCACGATTGATTGGTCGCGGCCTCTACAAACGCAGATGCTAGCTCTATGTGTCGTTATCAATAACCCTCCATAGATCTAGATCTAGACAGCTCACGAGTGAACGCAACACATTAAGTTTAAGAGCAGCACCCTCCATAGGCCACACGTCATATCTGTAGCGAAAAACTGTTTGGAACTGTAGCATTTCTTTATATAAATACGGACATTTTTTGGACCGATTGAACCATATTGTATACGAACAATCTTTGGTAGGCCTATAATATAATCATAGATCTATATTTTATTTTTATTATCCGAAATATGCGGGAACGGTTGTGATTTCAGAGTGTTCGGAGAAATAGTGCCCAGCTTTATTTTCCCGAACGTTCGGAGAAATAGTGCCAGCCTAATTTATGTGCACGAACTTCAACGTCCACATATCATTAGTTTGCCCTATTTTCTGATTGGTAGCAGAGTTTCATTCAGATTGGTTCGGAAATAGAGCAGACCGAGGTTGATAAAGTTAGTCACCTACGCTTCGGCCGGGTCCGCAAAATCGCCCGTAAATGGGGACCAAATTTTCGCCGCGCGGGAAAGCCCGATTGGCATTGCTAAATTTTCAAATGAAATTTAGAAAGCACATTGTCTGCCTCTTTCTAAATCCAGCTCCATTTATTTTTGCATTCTGCATCAATTTCTCTCAAATCTCCGCCTTTTTTAATGATAACTCGACGCGCCATCGTCCCGATGCTCAATCAACAGTCCACAACAATAAACAATGTGAAACTAGGCACAGAACGGAAGTAGAAAGCTACGGGTCGACATGCGCAAGCCGCTTTTTCGTCTCACTCCCGGTTCGGCGATTTCCGCGTGTAAAAAAAAAGTATCGCGATTTGCGACCGAGAGCGGTCCAGCGGAGGAAGGAGGAAAGTAGCGGGAAAAGCTAGATGAAGCGGAGTTTCCGCTATTTAGCGGGAAAGTGGCAGCTATGTGAATGAGACGTATGCCTCGATTACGAACCAATGCAGGCGGTTCTAGAAGAAGGCCACAAACTCAAGCAGACTGACGCACACACACACTTGACTTGCGTGAATGGGGATCCGACTCGGGACCTGAATGACACGTAAGAGGATGCGCGCTGCGCGTGCGCTGAGCCAGGGGCTACACTGATTCCGGACCAGAGAACGTAGGCGAGGTGCCAAAATAGGCGTATCGGGCGACATAAACCCGGCTCCCGCAGAAGGAGGGTTAATATTAATAGTGAGAACCCTGCACCTGTTCCTGCGGTAAACGTCCTCATCCGAGGCCTTGATATCCCGGACTTTGATCTCTTCAACGATTCGGATGATTTTCAAGACTGATAAAATGCAGGTCAGTTTACAACTTTGTCTCGTCCCCCTTCTCTCTCTCTCTCTTGGTATTCTCGCAGCCCTCACTCACTCCGCCTCCCTTCGGTTCATCAGGGCAGTATCGCAGCCCTCACTCACTCCGCCTCGCCGGGAACTAGTTCACGTAACGGTCGATTAGGACCCATGACTGTCTGTTGTTTGCCTCCTAGAGCGCATTATCATTAATACATATAAACACGGTGGGTCCACCAAAGTTCAATCCAGCCATAATATACATTTTATCCGAGAATAATCACAGTGAAAATTACACATGACATCGTCATCAGCCACAGGGTCAGGGCCACAGTCAATGATATCATCACAAACTACAAACCACAGACCACAGTGACAAGCAGTGGGCAGTGCAGTCAGGGGATTCTGGATTAGATCTGCATATTTAGATCTAGTTATCTGTAAATAAAACAATTGTCAAACATCGTGTCGTGTGGCTGTATCCGACCAAAGTAATTTGGAGAACGGTTAGAGCTAAGCGCCACTTCGTAAAAAGGCAGAACGATCAGCTGATCTCGATTGCCATCTTATTTTTGACCCACACTCACACACGGCTCAGTCGTAGCAGACAATCTTGAAGGAGAACATATCGGAAACAAACACAGTGGAGCTATAAATTAAACAGAGTATGATAACAGGACAATATTATTACCTCCAGACTGGCAATGCAAAGCAGGGAATACGACGAAAAGAACGGCAAAACTGAAAAACAATGCCATTTTCCAAAGCAAGGCAGTGATCTGTTTTTCACCAGCAACTTCACTAGGCCTAATCCAGCCTTCCTTTAATGAACATAGTCTGCGCATGCGTGAGTTTGTGAAACCAAAATGGCTACTGGTTCTAAATAAAGAAACACCAGCTTTTCAATAGTCTGTTTCGAATAAGATATGGACATGGCATATCGAGCTCTGCTTTGAAGCCCCAAAAATAGCTACCTAAGCATGCTTAAAGATAACCACGGGTTGCTTTCTTTATTTGATGCATATTTAACACCTCACTCGATACAGATTACTATTACTTGCTGTAGAAAGAAATCAAGAGTCAAGAGTGTTTCCATACGGGGCTGCCCAGTTTGTAACAGGCCCAGTTTGTCACAATTTCATTTAGGGCCTATAGTGCGGTCAAAAATTCCTGGGGCAACTTATCCTCAAATATCTCCTTAACGGGAGAATCAATGTCATCTATACTTTGCATAGCACTTTGCATCATTTGCATTAACTAAATCATATTTTTTCCAAAACAACTGGGGCTCGATTAAACAACTTTTCTTCATAAATTCATATGAAATACTTGAAATCTGTCTCACGTAAAATGGTATTGTTCACAGCACTCCTCCCACTTCTCATACACATTTGATGCCCTACGTCACAGCTAATCAAGGACAATGTTTAGGGCCTACTTGCAAATCTTGTTACAAGAAATCATTTTCATAGTGAACACATTTTTTGCACTAATAGCTCTCAAAACATGCGTTCAATAAGCATAATATGTCCCTATTATTAGAAAAATATGACGGACTTGCTATTATAAAAAGCAATGTTGCCCCAGCAGTAAACATGTAAAAATGTGTAGAGACACCCACTATGATTTTTTCAGAGTATTTATTAAGGAATTTTGTAGAATACAGCTTGCAGGTGTTTACCAAAATGTTGATCTGTTAAGACAAATTGATACAAGTCACTGTGCAAAAATTGGAGAACTTAAGTCCGATAGTTGAGGAGATATGTGACAATAAGTCGCGCCACGAATTTTGGACTGAACTAAGTACATTGTATTAATTGAACCTGTATTGATGGCAGTCATAATTACAGCACTTCAACATTGTATATCTACTTGTAATTTAAGTTTTTTATTCTCTACCTTCAAATTGGTGGTGTGCAGATTGAAGTCCCTCTAAAATGTCAATTCTGCTTGTGTTGTTCAATATTTCTTCCTTTTTGTATGCAAAAATCTAAGCAAATTACTCTGTAAAATTTCAACCATGAATGTTCTTTCGTTAAGAGCAATCGCAAAAGAAAATTCAATTCATACAATCAATCAATCATTCATTTACTCTTTTTGGGAGTGTCGAATCAGTGATAACTTCCATCGTGCAAGGCACAGTCGAGGCCTATAACAAACTGGCATATATGCTTCCTTCCATTGACTTTGCAATTACTTGTGATGTTCAGACTCTACAAGAAAGTCCTGTAGATCTAGATCTATAACAATCACCCTTCCCATTTGATAAATCTTTCAGACCTGTGTGCTCGGCACTTCCCCCTGCATGCATCAACGAACCTACATTAATTGGACCTTGTGTGCAAGGAGGGTAGAACATGTCTGTTAGCATAGGCTACCCTGTCCCCGATTCGCCTCGGAGGTGCAAACGAAACCGGACATGTATAGGAGAGAATTATTATTAATTATTATATTATTATGTTTACTCAGCAAGAGATGCATGGGAGGTTCGGTCTTGTCCGTCGAAGTCGAGGCGTATCACGGTCCTATCTGAGAAGACGCGATTTTACGTGTCAGTGACGTTTGCAAAAGAGATCGAGTGAGACCTAAAGCTGGCCAACATTGACTCAAACTCAAACAACTGAATGGTCATATCCGACTTCCACAGTGCTTCGTTGACAGCTGTCTCCGTTTGGCATGAGGAAGGCCAACACGTAGATCTACATAGTAGGCTAGGCCAAGGCTACTATACTAAGCATTGTGAACCAACCAGCTCACCGAAAGGGGCGGGCGTGAACCTGCATCACCAATCATTAGGCCTTGCCTACCGTAGCGACTCGGCTAGGTTCACTAGATCTACTAGCCCGTCATAGAAAATATATCTGCTGTCTGCGTGGCAGATACTGCCACTCCATGATCAGTCAATCAGACAGGCTATAGTTAAGAAAGTACGCTACTAAAAGCCACAATTGATATACATGTATTGGTGAAGCCCTAGGCGATTATATGACCGTCTAGGTGAAGCCTCATCATTAGAGCCACATCTGCAACAGACATCGGCGATCATGGTTCTCCGTACATTTCTTTGCTCGGATGCTTTAACTCTAAAAAAGAAAAAAGATTGCATTATCTCTATCCTTCTCAGTCACCCATTTCTGTTTTGGCTCCCCGAGAAGGTTGCTCTGGGTCTAACCCTGCCTCATTTGCCTTTAGTTTTGCCAGTGAGAGTTAAATGTCCAATGCCTTTATGATGTCTATTCAAGATCCCAGAAACTGCATTTGTCTTAATTCTTGCTTGTTCTTATCAGCGAGCAGCCAAAGCGACCTTCTTCCGTTTGATATCTATTATCTCATGATTTTCCAGAACCCACAGCCGTATAGAAGGGTTGCTGACGCAAAGCATTTCATACCTTTCGTTTTGGTAGTCATTTAGATGTTTATATTTTTCGGGAATTGGGCACATTTTATTAAACCTGTTTTTAGTCATTGCAAGTCTTCGTTTTACATCTGTAGAACATATGACAACACATATGTAATTACATGTATATAATTTTTATGCAGGAGTAGCCTCATTGTGCGTGTAGGCCTTTACATTGCACACCATCTCTCCGAACTGATCTATTGTTATAATTGTTGTTGTTGTTACAGATTTCCAAATAAAGGCTTTTATATTAACAGTGTTATAATATGGTACATACGCCCGCACGCGCGCACACACACACACACACACACACACACACACACACACACACACACACACACACACACACACACACAGACAGACAGCGGGTGCACACGTGTGATAATTGTAGATAGATAGATAGATAGATAGATAGATATATAGATAGATAGATAGATACATAGATACATAGATACATAGATACATAGATACATAGATACATAGATAATATGTATTACCTGTGTAAGACGGAATCCCAAGGGAGCCAGGAACAATTCCATCTCAGACATTTTCCGTAGACAGGGGAATTTACGGGGAGATGGAGGGGCCGGTGGATCAAAGGTCGCTTTTCTTGTCAGCAAGCAGTAGTCAAAACTTCCCACCTGTCACGTCCTGTCCTCTCTAGGCTGATAATAAAATGTGTCAGTCTAGTCTTACTTATCCATTGCCACCAGTGCTAATGTTTCATAGGTCGACTGTTTGACCTATTAAAAAGAGAAACGTTTGAACATCTCCTTAGCTTCCACCTTTAGCCACACCCATCGGTGTAATAAGCACTGTTCTGTTACCCAATGCCATCCCTCCTTTGCATTTTACAATGATCCACTAAGGAGCTCTTTTTTCGGCTGGCCTTGCGATCAAGGCACCAGGCATTGGTCAAACTAATTCCATATTATATATATATATATATATATATATATATATATATATATATATATATATATATATATATATATATATATATGGTCTCTGGCTACTCATGAAAGTTTCTGAGCTGGAGAGCCATTCGGGCACTTTCACAGGCACTGGTGAGATTTCACACCCACACCACCCTGACCATCTGCACCGCTAAGGGCTCGTACATGACTGGGGTCTACCCTTAAGTCGCATCGCCTATGCTTACTCTTTTTCCTCGTCTGGCGACATGGCGTGAGTGAAATGTTAAAGCCGATGGAACTAAACTTGAAACTTGATAGTTTTGTTTCAAATCAGGGCCAAGAGGGTAAAACATTTTCCGTCTTAGACAGGTAAAAACCCTCAGAGTAGAATGGATTCTCTTTCCGTTTCTGAGTTAGACAGATTTCTGTTTTATATAGAGGTAATTATTGAGGACTGTTATTAAAGGGGGGGGGGGTGGTTCCTTTATGACAGGTTTCCGTCTTACACAGGTTCCCTTTAAAGCTGGTTCGACTGTTTGTATGTCTATATAGATAGTATAGATAGATAAATGTTAAATATAAATATTATATATGTTAGTCAAACCTGCCTTAACGGAAACCTGTGTAAAACGGACCTGTCATTACGGAATCTCCCGCCACCCCCTTATAGGTACATATGTAAATGTGCTTGTTTATATCATTGCATTGTCTTTTCACATTTGACTGGCTTTGGAGTTATTAAGCTGTATATCCATTATAATATGAAGAATTTTATGTTCGGTTCTTTTCAACCCCCCACCCTCTTTACAACCCACTCAACGCCACTGCAAAAACAACACAAAGGGAGCTAAGAGCGTGCAACTCGGGAAAACTGAGCTCTCTTCGAACAAGGGAAATAACCGTGTATCTTAAGAAACAGGTTCTTCTAGATACCAGGGTTACTCCTCTTGGACTGTAGTAATTTTTTTCTTCGTCATAAAGTCGCTGTCTTAGTGGAAACATAATAATAATATGTGTAAAAAGGAAACCTGCCATATAACGGAATCTCTCTCCCCCCTTTGATAAATTCCTTTATAATTACCTCTATAAAATGGAAACCTGTGAAATGCAGAAACGAAAAGAGAAATTCCTTCCCTTCTAAAGTTTTTTACCTGTGTCTAAGACGGAAAATGCTTTTCCCACTCAGCCCTGATTTGAAGCAAAGCTACTTAGTTGGTTCCACTGGCTCGCCACGCCGAGGAAGGGGAGTAGGGGCGCAATTTGAGGATAGATGTTACCCATCCATGTCAGCCCTTATTGGTGCAGATGGTCAGGGTGGTGTGGGTGTGAAATCTCACCAGGGCCTGTGAAAGTGCTCGAGTAGCGCTCCAGCACGGAAACTTTCACAAGTAGCCTGAAGCCAGAGGTGTGACATTAGTTTGACCAATTCCTGCCGCACTGATCGTTTGACCAGCCGAGAAAAGAGTTCTTTGTATCATTGTTACATGTACATGCATGGGAGGCCTGCATTGGTTGATTATGTTGATTACCCCGGTGGGTGGGGCTAAGGGCG